TTATCTCAATGCCATATTTTATTAAATTATACTCGTTAAGTTGGAAAAATATAAAAATGTATTTTATTCTCTATAAATTCAATTCAATTACCTTGAATGTTAATTTCAGTTTTGGGAAAATCAATAGATTTCAATTAAATAATATTTCGATTTGATTACGTTATTGAGGTTAGTTTACTACTCTCCCTCTCTTTCTCACTCCCTCTCTCTTTGACACTCTCTCCCAATAGAATTGCTTGTGGTATTTCTGTGGTACATAAAATTGGGCAAAGCAATTGCCATTATCAGAGGTATAAAATTGTTGGCAATTTTTAAAGTAATTAATGTGTCTGCAGGTCATAAATATTGCAAAAAAAATTATCATCCTCATTATTATCATCGTTGGCTATGGAAGTTATGGATTTTGTCCGTTTAGTTGAATAGAAAATTTGCTAATGGCTTTTAAGGTAAAAAAAAAAATTTAAAGACAAATTAAGAATCTCTTGTTGATATAACAACTTTTGAAGTCATTAAACAATGGTTTTAATTTTAATATTTTTTTGATAAATTTAGTTAACTTCTAAGAGAAAATTATACAATTGTCCCTCTTCAATTAAGCCATTTGTTTTAGAGAAAAAGTTATGCTACTTTTTTTCTTTAATACATTTAATTTGCCCAAGTAATTTTAACTTACATCCCAGAATTACAAAACCCATTTAACTTTTTTTGTTAAAGCAATTTAACACACACACAAACAAATGGTGCCAGAACACCATCTATTAAGGAAAATTATTTCGAAAAACTTTATGTCTCACCGCAAAAACCAATTCCAATTTTAAAAATGTACATTTCGATTTGTTGACACCCATTTTGGTGGCCAGAACTTTAGCTATATGCCAACAGTACCTTCATGTATATATATATGGTATATGGTTTTCCAAACACTTTGGGATATTTAAATAAAATTGTAAAAATTTAATTGGTATCATAGCCTACTGGCAGCTAGTTTACCTATACAGTTTATCCATGGTGTTTCATGAATATCAGGCCAAAGTGTTTTAATTTGATAACTAGTTTTCATACTGATCCCTTCGAAAATTATTCACAAAACCACATGAAATTTTACCTTTACTAATGGTGTTTTCTTTGTTGTCGATGTGTGCATATCTGTGCAGGAACATACACTCATAAATGAAGTTATGGGTAATTCCATATCTGGAACTTAAAATTCAGAAATAAAGAAAGTAATTGCAGGGAAAATTCAAAAAATGTTAATTTTGAAAGTGGTAAATAGGAGTACAGTGTCTTCGGCAATATTGCAGAAAAAAAGAAACATAGGAAATACTTAGGTGGAAAATATTAAACCTCAAATGAGTCACCAAAGGGGTCTTTTGGTCCTTTTTTCAAAATATGGTTAAAAACTCTTATTAAACGGCATTGTAACATGTCAAAATATTCTACAAAATTAATTGTCATAAAATTCTGCTATCAGTCCTAAAAGACATCAAAAGTCTAGACCTTACCTAAACGCCAGGAAATCATAAATATTAAAAACACATTTTAGGGTTAAAGCCGTACTTTAGGTGAGTTTATGAAGAAATCTCCTAAAAAAACATCGTTTTAGAAGAACGATGTTAAAGACAAAATTTTTTTTCATGAAATTTTCTCTATTAGTCTTAACGGAAAAGAAATCTCTTAATACATCAATATTTCAAAAAAAGAGTATTTCTAATTTTTTTTTTATCAATTTTTCCTCGGTATTTTTTCGAGTTGACGCCTGACGGTGATCGTTAGAGCACTCCAGTATTTAAATGTGAATAAATCTTTTGTGTCTCGTACCTTTTCTCGTTGTCGTGACACTGGTAGCGTAGCCCGACATCAAGAAAACACCAACATTAGCAGAAATGGTTCGAAAAGTAAAGAAGCGACTTCAGCGAAACTCGCTTCGCCGTTGGCGAAAAATGGCTCATATCGCAATATTCCATTCGCAAATATTGAAAAATGAGCTCGTGGTAAAGCCATTGAAATTCCAAAAAGGTGCAAGAACTTACACCGCAACGGAAAGAAAATAGACTCAAAAGAACTAAAGAGTTGCTTCGCTTGGCCGAAAGTGGTGAACTGCCGAATTTGGTTTTTTCCGATGAAAAAACATTTGTTGTCCGGCAGTTTGTAAACAAACAAAATGATCGTGTTTACTTGCCAAAGAGGTCAGCTGAAAATCTGCATCTTCGGTTGGCCACCAGAACTCAAAAGCCGGTCATGTTGATGTTGTGGGCCGCCATAACAGCTGATGGTCGCTCTCGGCTCGTATTAATTGACCGTGGCATCAAAATAAATGCCGAATGTTATAGCGAAAATATTCTAGAGGGTGCATTAAAGCCTTGAGCACGCAAACATTTTGGCCCCAAACCTTGGACATTCGCCACCCAAGAATGGTTACAAAACGAGGTACTTCGCTTCATTTCCAACGCCCAATGGCCACTAAAATCTCCGGGCACCAATCCGTTGCACTATTGTGTCTGAAGTATTTTGGAAGGCAAGGTTGGCACCAAAAAGTACCAAATTGTCGATTACCTCAAGCAAGCACTTCGCCGGGAATAGGCCAAGATACCGCAAAGCAACATTCGGGCAGCGTGTGACTGTTTCATTGGCCGTTTGAAGGCCATAATTCGTGTCAAAGGCGACAAATTCGAACAAATCTAATCTCATTCTAAAATTTGATGCTATTTCCGACATTTTTTGAATTCATTTAATAAAATTAAAAAAATACATATAAAACTTATGGCATTTGCCTTTGTTGCCGTTTTATCTCACTCTGCATATCTTCGTCCGAATTCAATTTTATTGTGCGCCAAATATGTAATACCTGTCCAAATAGGATGTTTTTCAAAACATTCTATCCAATTCAGCCCAGAAACAATTAATTTAATAAGTTTTGAAAATCGATTCAGATATAGCTATAGCTCCCATACATATGTTTTGGGGTTTTAAGTCCTTCACATGCCTAATATTCTCATTCCACAGGAATGATATTTGGTAACTGATAATTTATGGAGCATAAAAATACCTCTATGAAATTACCGAGATCAGATCAAATTTGGATGTAGCTGCCACATATATATCCTTATCCGAGTTTAGGTTTATTAAGTACCAAATGGTTAATATCAGCACAAATGGACTGAATTTTGGAACTTCGGGCGGAATTCAGCGTGGAAGCAAGTACTTTAAATTTCAATGAAAATCGGTTCAGATATAGCTTTAGCTCCAATCTATATGTTTTATCCGATTTTGTGTTATATGCACTCCATGACAATGTTATTTGATACCGGACATCAGATACAGCTCGAGAATACCTCTGGCAAGTTTTATTAAAATATCTTTTATAGCTTCGACATACATCTTCATCCGATTTTACGGTTATTGTTCACCAAATATGTTATATCAACCCAAATTTGATAGATTTTTTCATATTCAACTGAATTTTTCCATGTGTTGAAACCCTGTACGGTATATGTATTTTTCCAATAAATTATTTTTAATATTATCCCAAATTTTGACTTCTCTAAAACCATGATACCCAATCAAATAAGGTTCATAGTTGGTATCTACTTCATCTTCATATAAATTCCCAATATCAACTTTTTGGTTATGGGAGCTCTACTAAATAAGCATTGTGGCGTAGGATATCATATAATGATATACTGGGTTTTTTGTGATTAATAATAAAAAATGTGTAATTATTTTTATCACAGACTAAAACATACTGACAATTTAAGTTAATCTCCACTGAACCTTTCAAACCCCAAACACACCCACACACATATATATATTATCTTTTATGTTCATACCAACCCAGAAAAAAAAAACACATCTTCCAAACTTTTTCTCATAATACCCACTCGCTCTCATAATTTGTGAAATTGTCTAATTGTCTATATATTTTCCATCCGAACGATATTTGTTGTTGTGTCCATAAAATATAGCCACCAACACTGTCACAACTATCACATACTACCTGTCTTGTCTAAGTACTTCTTGTGTATGTTTGTGTCATAAATATCCCTTAACTTAATAACAGACAATAACCACAAAAACAACAACAAAAAACAACCACAAAACTAAAGAAAGAAAAATAGCTATTAATACTTTTTGCTGCACAATTCTCCAATTCATAACATTTACCACATTAAACTTTCACTCTGAACAAGAACAACAACAATAACAACAAGAAAAAAATACAATTACAATGGCTACCTTTACAATTTTTTTTATTAGAAAGTGCAACAACTTAAAGGAGAAACTACAGAGAACTAAAACACAACCCAACCCTCCAACCCCCAAACACCAGAGAACAACAAAGCTATAAATACTAACACCTTTTCTAATAACAATGCAATAAAATCCTGTTTTACACACACTCACCACACACACACACCAACACTTAACAACAACAACAAACTTACTTTCTTTTCCAATATTAAACAAGTCAATTGGCCCTACTCTCTTGTTCTCAATTAAGATACTCAATTCTCATTTTGTGTTCACCTGTTTAGTTTCCGCTCATAACTCTTTTTCCATAATAGAAATAACTTTCTCTCCCACTCTCTGTCTCTCTTTGTCTGTCTGTCTGTCTCTTTGAATGTAATTATCGAAAGTCGAAATTGTGTGTCCATTTTTTTTCTGTTTTGTTCCCTTCTGTTTTGGTTTGTGTGTGTGTTAGTGTTCTCACATATTAGCCTATACAATAACATAAGATTATATCAAAAAAATACAATAGAATATATAGAGAGAAAATGTATTAATAAATCAATAAATTTCCAATTAGTTGTTAATAATAACTGCATTTATTTTGTCTGTTTTAACAATGTTTTTTCTCTGTCTTTCTTCCTTTTTTTTGGTGTTATTTTATTTTTCTTCTTTTTTTTTCTCTTTAATTTATCTTTTTAACCTGAATCCTGGAAACCTGGAAAATAAAATGGAAAATCCCGTAATATTGCCACCAATTCCACCACCGCCAACAGCTATTTATGATAGATAACTGTGCCGACGATTGGAGAATCGCTATGACATGGCAACGAATTAGTCAAATAGGTTTAGAACTTTTTATATGTGCTATACATCCAATTCCTGGTGAATATTATTTTCAATGGACAACAAAATTGGCGAACAAAAACAAAACAATGGGCACCGAAATGGTGCCGTACGACGTAGCTTTATCATTACCCATGTTCCTTCGTTTATATTTAATATGTCGTGTAATGCTTTTACATTCAAAACTATTTACGGATGCCTCATCACGGAGCATAGGTGCTCTAAATAGGATAAATTTCAATACAAGGTAAGTGGAAAAACATACTTATGTATACTTTCAAATAATAATATCTCTGACTCTGTTGTTTGATTTTGAATCGCATCTAAGTCCCATTCGACATAAAATTTCCAAAATACAAGCCCGTGATTCGGAATGATTATTTTATATGAATTTTTGAAAGTTTAACTTAAAATGTTATACATAAACCAAAAATATAATTTTCGATAGATTTTAACAGATGTCCAATACATCTTCTACAAATTATCGATAAATATTTTTTAATTAATTTATTTTATTTATGAAATATTTCGATTTAATTTTAATAAATTCTCAACAGATAGATCCTGGATAATATTTCTATATATTGAAGATTTTTTCACTGCTTATGAGAGATTTTTTTAATTCTCGAAAGGATTTCGATTAATTAGAGATAGGTTTCTAATTGATTTTATTATATACACCATGAATTTTCAATAGTATTATTTATTTATTTTGATTGCAAACAGTTATTTGTTACGTTTTCAAAAATATTATCATTTTTCGATATTTAACGATTCATTTTTTACAGGTATCTATTGTAAGATTTTAATTATCTATCGTCATTTTTATACCTTCAGCCATATGACTAGAGAAGGAGGGTATATATCATTTGATACAACCAAAATGCCTCATCGAAAAACTCATTATTGGACCAAATCCGTTTCAGAACATTTGGAGTCGATCTAGCAATGGTTGTCTGTCCGTCTGTTTGCCTGGCTTGTGCGCATGATAACTCTCGAAGGAAGCGTCCAATTTGGTCCAAACTTGGTACATTGTAATATTATTATCAAACTTAGATCGAGCTCGGACATGGCCAATATCGGTCCACTCCTTCTTGTACCTCTCCCACAAAAGGCCAAAAAATTTCAATGAAAATAATTTGCGTATAGAACAAGAAAGAATCAACCGATTTTTTTCCAACTTTGCAAATCGTAATATTTGCATCAGTGCTAGGTTAGGTGCAGAAATGGACAATATCAATCCCCACAAAGGGTCAAAAGCTTGAATAGTTATAACTTTTACAAAATGTAATGTAAGAGTCCGATTTACTTCAAATTACACACATTACAATATTTTTATTAGCGCAAGATCTGGTGTGAAGATGGAATATATCGGTTTACTCCTTCTAATACCTCCCCCACAAAGGGTCACACTTTTGAATATCCATGAAGCTCATATAACGCGAAATTAACATCTGCTTCCATTTAGACTTTCTACATCTCGATATTTCCATCAACACAAGATCTGTTATAAAGATGTTAGAGATCGGACCATTCCTTCTGGTCCCTCCCGCAGATAGGGTTCATATTTTTGAAAAACCAAAACAATTAAAAAATCCGAAATTAGCATCCATTTCTCTTCATATTTCACACATCTCATTATTTCTACTAACTCAAGATCCGAAGAGAAGTTGGGATATATAGGTCCAGTCCTTCTGGTACCTCCCCCACAAAGGGCCACAATTTGAATATCCATGAAGTTCAAAAAACGCGGTATTTACTTCCGATTCCATTCAGGCTTGGTACATCTCAATACTTTCACCAACACAAGATCTGTTGTAAATATAGCAGAGATCGAATCATTTCTTCTGGTACCACCCCCAAAAAGATTTCAAGATTTTGAAAAACCAAAACGATTATAAAATCCGAACTAAGCATCCGGTTCTCTTCATATTTCACACATCCTATTATTCCTAATAACTCAAGATCTGGAATGAATATGGGATATATCAGTCTACTCCTATTTCCATCAACACAAGATCTGTTATAAAGATGGTAAAAATCGGACAATTTCTGCTGGCAACTTCCCCACATAGGGTTCAATATTTTGAAGCATTTCTGGTACCCTTCTGGTCACCATTTCCAATGCTTTTATCTGTCATAACTTGCGAAACAAGTCACCGATTCCTTGATATATAAAAATACGTCTCTCAACCAAAAACCTGAGCTGGATATTGAGTTTATGATTTTGCATGAAATTGGATATAAATGTTCGATTTTGTTCTATTTAAAAAATATTTTTGATATACAGTGGAAATAAGGATTTCTTTTCTTCAGTGACTTATAGTAAAATTTGATGACGAATATTTTTTTCTCTGATTTCAACTTTCGAAAATGATGCTTTGTTGGAGATTTTTTCACAAACTCATACAGGGTACGGGTTTAGTCCTAAAATGTGCTTTTTATACCCTACACCACATGGTGGTAAGGGTATTATGTCTTTGTGCATTTGTTTGCAACATGGAGAAGGAAGCGAGTTAGACCCATAGTTCCTTTTGATGATCTACATAGAATCACATTCTGAGTCGATTTATGCATGTCCGTCCGTCTGTACGTCGATGTATTCTTGTGAACAAAATTCAGGTCGCATTTATTACCCGATTGAGATGAAATTTTCCAAGCAACATTTAGCCAAGGACGAACCCTATTGAAATTGGAGATAATCGGTAAAAATTAAGATATAGCTCCCATATATATCTTCGTCCGATTTGCTATTTATTGTGCACCAAACGTGTAATATCATCCCGAATAGTATGGAATTTTGCACATACAACCAAATTAGGCCTGAAAATAAGAATGCTAAACTTAATCGAAATCGGTACAGATATAGCTATAGTTCCCATATATGTTGTTCATCCGATTTGTTATTTTTGTCCTCCGCAGCCGTAATATGCACTCTGTAACAACGATATTTGGGGAAATATATCAAATGCAGCTCAGAAATACCTATGCTAAATTTTATCGAGATGGGTTCAGATTTGGATATAGCTCCCATATATAACTTCGTTCGATTTACCTTTTATTGTGCTCCAAACGTCTAATATTTGTCCAAATTGGATGAAATTTGGCACTTACGATCGAATTGAGTCTAGAAGCTAGTATACCAAATTTGGTGAAGATCGGTTCAGATATAGCTATAGCTCCCATATATATTGTTCTTCCGATTTGTTGTATTTGTTAACCACAGCCTTAATATGCATTCCGTAACAACGATATTCAGGGAAATATATCAAATACAGCTCTAAAATATCTTTGCCAATTTTATCGAGATCGGTTCGGATTTGGATATATCTTCCATATATATCTTTATCCGATTTCAAATTAATTGTGCACCAAATGAGCATTACAAGTCCGAATTGAAAAGATACATATGCTTCGGCATATTTAGTCCTTTGAACGTAAAATTATAATTATAATCATAGCGTGTATGATTAAATTCTCCCATAAAAACCTTTAATTGCTATGTGGAGCTCTACAAAATTAGCAAAGTGGTGTAGGGTATCATAAAGTCGGCCCCACCCGTCTTTTGGACTTTCTTTAGTGTTTTTTTTTTTTTTTTTTTATTTGGTGTCAGGTTTATCAATAGATTTTCGGAAAATTCTCCTAAAATTCTTAGTACATTTTGGATAGACTTTTTCTAGATATTCACTACATTTTTGATAGATTACCGAAAAATTTTCAATATCTTTTCTATAATTTTTGGAAATTTTTTTACTAGCTTTTATAGATTTTCGTAGGTTATTTTGATAATATATTTAATATATTTTTGTTAGATTTCATACAGATGTGTATCTGATTTCCAAAGAATTTCGCATCTTGTCGAGTGATTTTTCAATGGATTTTCAGTAATTTGTTAGAGGAGATACTTATTCATTTGATGCCTCATTATATAAATTGTAACCCTTTATGAAGAAGGTACTAGAAGAAGTGAACCAATATTGCCCATTCGCACCAAACCGAACACCTACGCAAATATTAAACAAAATGAGATGATCATTGCTTTTTTTTATGAGGTACAACTTTGATCCTTTGTGGTGAATGTACAAGAAGCACTCGAACTCGATGTAAGTTTGGCAAATGTATTACGATGTACCATGTTTGGATGAAATCAGATACTTCCTGAGAATGTTATTGTGTACACCAGCCAGACAGATAGACGGAAAGTCGGATACCTCTTATACTTATATCTTGAAGCGGATTTCGCTCAAAGTGTCCTGGGGTCTAAATTCATTGAGTTATTGGATTTTGGGATCAATAGTAATGTATTTTCCGAAATCTGTGTCATTGATAAGCTCTTCTCACTTTTAATCAGAGAATTCATTACAATAAATATAGATTAAAATCGAAATCTTCACTTCATCAGAATTTTGACCTATGTTTATGTTTTTCTATTGAAGATGAAATTATTGTAAACAGGATTATGGCGTATACTTGTTTAATTTTCTTCAAAATTTTAAATTATAAATCATACGCCATAAGCACACACCTGCATTCACTCGTATGTAGCATACTTTTGAATATATGCAGATTCGACAGCCTCTAAAAATATACATTTAATTTATTAAATACCACATAATTTAATTTATTTTATGGTTGCAACACACACACACGCACAATAAATTGTATTTAATTAACAAAGTAAATTCACTTCCATCCGGGGACGGCGATCTCTGCCCTTATACGTTTTACAACTTTGTTCATTCATTCGTGGGGGGCAATAAATTCCAATGGAAAATGTTATTTTTCAATTAGACACCAAAGGTGGACAAATGAAATGAAAACATGACTTTAATGGGGGCTTTGAGAAAATTAATAGAAAATGGTTGCAGTGTCGGAGGTTGTGGCATAATCTCAGTTAATCTAAACAATTGTAATGTTTGTTTGATTTTTTTTCTCTCTTGGTGAAACACCTCCTCTCTCTCACTCACTCTCCCTCTCCATGTATGGCCTCTTGTTGAATATCAGGTGAAAACAAAAAAACTGTTGCAAATGGAACTTATGTAAATAAAAACTATTACTGTTACACACAAACACAGACACACACGGAGAAATAGAGAACTAGAGAGCACTGCATATGACACTCAATATTGTGACCTTTGTTGTTGTTTTTTTTTTTTTCTTGTTTCATTTAGAGTGTTTATAAATAAATATTCATTAGGATTGAGGATTTAATTAATTGATTTAAATGCTGCAAATGAAGATTTACAATCGATGCAACAATGGCAAGCAATAAAGCTTGACAGTTCAGAGCAATTAGTTGGCAGAGCAAGATTTGTTTTAAATGTCGTTGGACAAAATAAAGTATTTACCTGGCCATTCTGAGAGAAGGAAGTGTAACTGCTATAGGTGTGTTAACTTAATCCTAAGTGAAAAAGTTGTACAAAAGCTGCTATTGTCATGTGCTTGGCAAATTCGAAATAAATTGTGTGGTAAAAATATTTTCTTAGACTTTATAGGAAAATATATATGCATGAGTTATATTCTTATTGAAAACATAACACCTGTTTTAGGTATTTTGGATGTCTAAGCCACATGTTTTCACGATAACTCTTGAAGGGGTATCCGATTTGATCCAAACTTGGTATATTGTAATATTATTATCAAACTTCAATCGCGTTCAGAGATGGGCAATGTCGGTCCGCTCCTTCTAGTATACCCCCCCCCCCCCCCAAAAAAAAAAAAAAAGTTAACATTTTCATAGAAGATAACTTACCTCATAAAAAGAGAAAAGACCATTCGATTTTGCACACACTTTCCAAATCCCAAAATTTTTGTCAGCACAAGGTCATGCGACAATTGACAATATCGGCCCACCCGTTCAACTAACTACCAGACAAAGGGTCAAAATTTGGTATAATTATAAGTCTTATAAAATGTGAAATAAGAGTCCGATTGTTTTCAAATTTTCCACATCTCTATATTCCTACGAAGGCAAGATTTGGTATGAAGAACGTATAGAACGGGTCATCCCTTCTGATACCTTCCCCATCATGAGTCAAGATTTTGAATAACCATAAAGCTCATAAAACGCGAAAAGAGCATTCCTTTCAAACTCGGCGCATCCCAATATATCTATTAACAAAATCCTTTTGGCACCACTTCCACAAGAAGTCATTTTTTTTTTTTTTTTGAATAATTAGAACTCTTATAAAATACGAAATAATCATTTGATTGTTCTCAAATTACACACATCAAAATATTTTTATTAACCCAAAGTCTGGTGTGAAGATGTATGAATATATCGGTCCACTCCCTCTAGTACCTTCCCCACAAAGGGTCAAAATTTAAAATTTCCATGAAGCTCATATAATTCAAAAGGGTATCAGATACATTCTAAACTTCACACATTCTAATATTTCTATAAACACAAGGTCTGCTGTGACGATAGGATATATCGGTCCACACCTTCTGGTACTTCCCTCCCAAAGGGTCAAAATTTAAAATATGCATGAGGCTCATTAAACGCGAAATTAACATCCGATTCCATTCCGATATGACACATCTCAATATTTCTATTAACACCTAATTAGCTCTGAAGATGGAATATCTCAGAACACTCCTTCTGGTACCTTCCCACAACGGGTCAACATTTTGAATAGCCATGAAGCTCGTAAAATGCGAAATAAGCATTCGATACCCCTCAAAATCGGCACATCTCAATATTTCTACCTCAACCTTGAAAAAGAGGGTATAATAACACCCCTAAATATTCGTCGAAGACCCCATAAAGCATTCATAATCAACATTAAATTTAAAGTCGATTTAACGATGCCCGTCTGTCTGTTGGAATCGCAATACAGCCCTCATTATTTGGCGTAGAACTTAAAAATTTTTTATTTGTTATACCCTACCACCTTCAGGGTATTATGTCTTTGTGCATTTGTTTGTAACAGGCAAAGGGAAACGAGATAGACCCATAGTTCCTTTTGATGATCTGCATAGAATCACATTCTGAGTCGATTTATGCATGTCCGTCCGTCTGTCCATGTATTCTTGTGAACAAAATGCAGGTCGCATTTATTATCCGATTGAGATGAAAATTTCCAAACAACATTTGTTTGGCCCAAGGACGAACCCTATTGAAATTGGAGATAATCGGTAAAAATTTAGATATAGCTCCCATATATATCTTCGTCCGATTTGTCTTTTATTGTGCACCAAACGTGTAATATCAGCCCGAATCATATGGAATTTTGCATATACTACCAAATTAGGCCTGAAAATATGTATGCCATAATTTGATTGAAATCGGTTCAGATATAGCTATAGCTCCAATATATATTGTTCATCCGATTTGTTATTTTTGTCCTCCATAGCCGTAATATGCACTCTGTAACAACAATATTTGGGGAATTATATCAGAAATACCTTTGCTAAATTTAATCGAAGTCGGTTCAGATTTGGTTATAGCTCCCATATATAACTTTGTCCGATTTACTTTTTATTGTGCACCAAACGTCTAATATTCGTCCAAATGGGATGGAATTTGGTACATTCAACCGAATTAAGTCTAGAAGCTAGTATGTCAAATTTGGTGAAGATCGGTTCAGATATAGCTATAGCTCCCATATATATTGTTCATCCGATTTGTTATTTTTGTCCTCCACAGCCGTAATATGCACTCTGTAACAACAATATTTGGTGAATTATATCAAATACAGCTCAGAAATACGTTTGCTAAATTTTATCGAGATCGGTTTGGATTTGGATATATCTCCCATATGTAACTTCGTCCGATTTACCTTTTACACCAAACGTCTAATATTTGCCCAAATGGGATGGAATTTGGTACATTCGACCGAATTGAGTCTAGAAGCTAGTATGTCAAATTTGGTGCAGATCGGTTCAGATATAGCTATAGCTCCCATATATATATGGTCATCCGATTTGTTTCCCACAGCCGTAATATGCACTCCGTAACAACGATATTCAGGGACATATATATGAAATACAGCTCAGAAATATCTTTGCCAAATTTTATCGAGATCGGTTCAGATTTGGATATAGCTCCCATATATAACTTCGTCCGATTTACTTTTTATTGTGCACCAAACGTCTAATATTCGTCCAAATGGGATGGAATTTGGTACATTCGACCGAATTGAGTCTGGAAGCTAGTATGTCAAATTTGGTGAAGATCGGTTCAGATTTGGTTATAGCTCCCTAATATAACTTCGTCCGATTTACTTTTTATTGTACACCAAACGTCTACTATTTGCCCAAATGGGATGAAATTTGGCACTTACGGCCGAATTAAGTGTAGAAGCTAGTATGTCAAATTTGGTGAAGATCGGTTCAGATATAGCTATAGTTCCCATACATATTGTTCATCCGATTTCTTATTTTTGTCCTCAGCAGCCGTAATATACACGATATTCAGGGAAATATATCAAATACAGCACAGAAATATCTTTGCCAAATTTTATCAAGATCGGTTCAGATTTGGATATAGCTCCCATATATATCAAATGGGCAATACAAGTCCGAATTTAAAAGATACAAATTCTTCGGCATACATAGTCTTTCGAACTTAAAATTATAGTTATAATCATAGCGTGTATGATTGAATTCTCCCATAAAAACTTTTAATTGTTATGCGGAGCTCTACTAAATTAGCAAAGTGGTGTAGGATATCAAAAAGTCGGCCCCGCCCGACTTTAAGACTTTCTTTTTCTGGTTTTAAAGTGGCTCTATGATCAGTAAAATATAAGTAAAATTTACGTCATGGCTTGGGGCCACTGTGCTTTGGAGCGTATGAAGAACATGATTGTTTCAAATATCACTTATACGCCGCCATGCATCTAGTTCCATCAAACGGCCTAGTTCCTTATTCCGTGGACTCCGGTCGTTTGTATGAAAACACTGCGTATGATTGATGTACAAAATATGAAATTTATAAAATCACTCATACGTTTTGGAGCTATGAACCAGATTGATACAAATCTATCGATCAGACGATTCACGTAGATAACGAGGTATTTCTTCTGTTAACCCACATAATACCCGAATTGAGACCTGCAACCATAAATAACTCACTTATACATTTCCCTGAAAATTCCCCTTTCCCATACTCATGTATTTTCTTCCGGTCTCATTTGGAATTAAAATTCTGAATTTAAATCAAACAACAATGTCATTTATTATTGATTTTCTCTCTTTAATAATATTGAATAATTTAACATAATCTTCTTTCTTCTTTGTGTATTTTTCTCTTTTCTCCCTGTCAGATTTGTCCTTAAAACTCTAATGACAATATGTCCTGGTACGGTGTTACTAGTGTTCATGGTCTCCCTATGGATCATCGCATCATGGACGTTGCGACAATGTGAACGGTAAGTTTGTCATGTTTTCTTTTCCCCTTCCTTCGTTCTTTTGTCATTTCAACTCTCCAGATACTTGTAATTTAACTCCCCCCGCCCTTGGAAATTATTGTGACCCCCCTCAAAAAAAAAAAAGAAAAAAACTTTCCCTCTGTTGTTACTCTTGTTACATTTGTTTATATCCTTTGTTTCATTTTTTCGTTCTTTCTTTGGTAATGATAAACAAATTATTGGGTTTTGTTTGGTAAAATATTTCCACCCCCCTCTTTTGACCCCAAAATGTAAACAAAACCTGAATAGAAACAAAAGAAAAGCGAGAAAGCAAAAAAAAATAATGTTTTAAAACCAATTTTCAATAAAAAAAGAGTGTGAGAGAATTAAATGAAATGAAATGAAAAAAAAAGAAAATTGTTTTCTTTTTCCTTTACAACTACAAACACCATTTGCCTTCAATATGTTTGTATTAAAATAACAGAGCACGTGTGTTATGTTTTCTTATGTTATGAATTCTTCTCTTTACTTTTGTTTGTTACGTACTTACTCTCCCCATTTTCCAGACTTATCCTATCTCTCTCTTGTTTTTTCCGATTTTAAATGTTAGTGTGTTTTATTATTATTATTATTGTCAATGTAAATTTATTAACCATAAATTAAATAATTATTAACCCTAATTTATTAGCCTTAAATTTATTAACTCTAAATTAATTTGTTTATTATTTAATTAAGTGTTTTCTTCTTTCAATGTTAATTTGTTTGGTATTTTCTTTTTATTTGTGTTTTTATTTTTGTATAATTTTTTATTTGATTTTATTTATTTGAAATTGCTCTTTAGTTAATTATTTAAAAATAATATTTCAATTTTCCAACATTTCAATGCGAAATTTTATAAACGTTTGCAAAAAAAAAAATAAAATAGAGATACAAATAGATAACGGAAAGGAAAATAAAGGCACACCCCATTGAAAATTTGTAGAACTACTAATGAATTAATTTTTATAGACCCATAATAATATTTTATGCAAATACAATTTTAAATTGAATTATCGTTAACATTTACCGTGTTATTTGTGTTTATGCCACAATTAAAGCCAATGGGAAATCACAGAAAATAAAACTTATTATTTTGTGGGTCAGGCAAACAAGGAAAGTTTTTTGCTTATAATATGGAAACATTGGAAACAAATCCATAGGCTTAAAAACGGTGTATGGTGAGATAAAACAAGGAAAAAAGCTGTAAGTTCGGCCTGGCCGAACTTTGAATACCCTCCACCATTTGGTAAAAAATTTGGCAATTTTCAAAAAATTAAAATCCATTAAATATTCTGTTAAATGTTAAAAATACTGAATGTAGCCGTATATTAGGGTCTATACGACGACGTGGACCTGCATACGTAACTTTTGTCATAAGCCTGCACAGACAATTTTCTGGATAGGCTGTAATGTCCATTAGGAACTTCAAATGCAAAATTTGAGATAATTCCGGTAAATAATGTCACTGAAATCATCAAAATTCCGAATATCGGGAGGTGCCATTATATGGGGGCTATACGAAGCCGTGAACCTGCACAGACAATTTTCTGTCACAGGCTGTAGTATTCATTACGAACTTCAAATACCAAATTTGAAACAATTCCGGTAAATAATGTCGCTAAAATCATGAAAATACCGAATATCGGAGGGGAACTGTAATATGGGGGCTATACCAAGACGTGGACCTGCACAGACAATTTTCTGTCATAGGCTGAAGTATTCATTACGAACTTCAAATACCAAATTTGAGATAATTCCGCAAATAATGTCGCTGAAATCATCAAAATACCGAAAATCGGGGAGTACCGTTTTATGGGGGCTATACGAACACGTGGACTTACATGGCCCATTTTCTGTCATAGGCTGTAGTATCCATTATGAACTTCAAATACCAAATTTGAAACATTTCCGGTGAATAATGTCGCTTAAATCATCAAAATTCCGAATATCGGCAGGTACAGTTATATGGGGGCTATACGAAGACGTGGATCTGCACAGACAATTTTCTGTCATAAAATGTAGTATTCATTACCAACTTCAAATACTAAATTTGAAAGAATTCCGGTAAATAATGTCGCTGAAATTATTAAAATACCGAAAATCGACTACGTGGACTTGCACAGACAATTTTCTGTCATAGGCTGCAGTATCCATTGCGAATCTTAAATATCAAATTTGAAAGAATTCTGGTAAATAACGTCGCTAAATATTCAAAATAACGAATATCGGGGGGTACCGTTATATGGGGGCTATACGACGACGTGGACCTGCACACACAATTTTCTGTCACAGGCTGTAGTGTTCATAACGAACTTCGAATACCAAATTTGAAACCATTCCGGTGAATAATGTCGCTTAAATCACCAAAATACCGAATATCGGGAGGTACCGTTATATGGGGGCTATACGAACACGTGGACCTGCACAGACAATTTTCTGTCATAGGCTGTAATATCCGTTACGAACTTCAAATACCAAATTGGAAGTAGTTCCGGTAAATAATGTCGCTAAAATCATCAAAATACCGAATATCTGGAGGTATCGTTATACGGAGGCTCTACGAACGCCTTGACCTTCATGGCCCATTTTCAATACATTTGAATAAAAGTAACCTAATTAGAGGGGACAAGTTCCCCCCTCTTCCACATTTTCGGAAATATTCGAATTACCATTCCTCGTAATCTGTACATTTTAGGCACATAGTGTCTTCGGCATTATTGAAGCTTAAAATACATTGACCCTCAAGTGAGTCAAGAAAAAGGTCTTTTTTATACCCCACACCACATAAAGGTAAGGGTGAGTCGGATTATGCATGTCAGTCCGTCTGTCCATGTATTTTTGTGGACCACTTACAGGTCGGATTTATTATCAAATTGAGATGATATTTTCCAAACAAAATTTGTCTAGCCCAAAGACGAACCCTATTGAAATTGATGGTAATCGGATCAGATTTAGATATATCTCTAATAATATTCAAACGATTTCGGGTTAATTGTACACCAAATTGCCAATATGAGACCAAATTTTGGAATATCCAACCGAATTCGGTGTAGAAGCAAGTACAGCCAATTTGGAGAAAATCGGTTCAGATATAGCTATATATAGCTATAGCTCCCATATATATGTTTCATCTGATTTGGGGGTTTAAGTCCCTTACAGGCGTGAGGGATGATGTTTGGTGTCAGATATTAGTTACAGCCCAGAAATACCTCTGCCAAATTGTATCAGGATCAGTACTGATTTAGGTATAGCTGTCATATATATCTTCAACCGATTTCGATTGTGCACTAAATGGCCAATATCAGTTCCAATTACCTGCATTTTGACACATCCAACCGAATTCGGTGTAGAAGCAAGTACAGCATTTGGAGAAAATCGGTTCAGATATAGCTATAACTCCCATGCATATGTTTCATCCGATTTGGGGTATAAGACTCACATTCGTAATATGCACTCCACAAAAATAATATTTGGCTAATATCAGCCCAAATTGACTGAATTTTGTCAATTTTGATTGAATTCGATTTGGGGCGTTTAAGCCCCTCACATGCGTAATATGCACTCCACAACAATGATCTCTCAGATACGACTCAGAAATAAGTGTTTGAAATTTTGTCAAGATCACTTTAGATTTGAATAGCGCTCACATATATTATTGTGCGATTTCAGGATAATTGTGCAAATAATGGCTAATACCAACCCAAATGAACTGCCCAGAAGCAAGTAATGCACATTTTTGTGAAAATCTGTTCAGATATAAATATAACTCTCATATATATGTTTCCACAACAATGATATTTGATACAGAACATCTGATACAGCTGGAAAATATCTCTGCCAAATTTTATCGAGGTCGCTTCAGATTTTTATATACCATGGATATACGTCTTCATCCGATTTTACGATTATTGTCCACCATATATGTAATATCAGCCCAAATTGGATATATTTTTTCATATATTATTTTTTCAGTAGCATCCTTAAATCTGCCGCCGGTACTCATTACTTGGTATGATATGATGGAATAACCCATTATTTTTAGCTTTCTGGCAAAAAAATGTGTAGTTTTTATTATTTTTGGTATACTGCTAGTGCAGAAGGTATATATTTGTAATGCTTAAAGTTGGCACGCACGACTACGAAATTTTTACTTAAAACTTATATACTCTTAGGTAGCAGCCGCTGGCCAAAACAAAAAAATATAGTTCTTCTGGATTAAAGAGGCCCCCTGCGTATAAAACACTTTTCAGAGTCACCCTGTGTAAAGATGGCCTTAAAAGGATGTCAATATATGGGAATACTTTAGAGGTTTTCTAAAATTTTATTCTATTCTCATCCTTTTCTTTTATCAAACTGAAAATGACGGACCAAGGTTATTGTATATCTACCAATTCGCTACCTTTCCGCTCTCTTCTTCCTCTTTTTATTCATTAACAATTTAGTGGAGCAAACGTAAGTTTTCGAATATTAATTGTTAAAGAATGCCCCCACCCCCTACCCAACTGTAATTTTTTGCTCAATTGTCTACTGCTAATCATCTATCAGGGCACATGTAATATCCCTTGAGAATATACACTTGAGCACACAAATAAAGTACACGTTCTCTGTATCATGGAGTTGTATAATAAAATTTGTCAAAATATCCAGACAAACCTATAACAAATGGACTGTCCAAAATGATTAGCTACAAAAAAACTGATTATAGCGACAGCAAATGTATGTGTGACACATACATCTAACATACATACACACATAAATACACTTGTTTGTATGAGTTGCAACACTTCTAAATTATCTCTCACTCATGTTAACATAAACTGACATCAACTGTCATCCGTTGTTGGAAATCAACGTTGACGGATTGCAACCGTATTTTTTGAAATAGAAACAAATTAATATGGAAGCTGTCGTTTGATGTGTTATTAAACATTCCGACAAGTTGACCACGTCGAAAAGTAGGGGGGGGAGGATTATTTGAACAG